GTAAATTGTGTGATGGTGATTATTTTGTACTTATTATCTGAGGTTGTCCTGGTCAATCTGTGTAAATTATGTGATCGTGATTATTTTGTGCTTATTATCTGAGGATGTCCTGGTCAATCTGTGTAAATTGTGTGATGGTGATTATTTTGTACTTATTATCTGAGGTTGTCCTGGTCAATCTGTGTAAATTGTGTGATGGTGATTATTTTGTACTTATTATCTGAGGATGTCCTGGTCAATCTGTGTAAATTGTGTGATCGTGATTATTTTGTACTTATTATCTGAGGATGTCCTGGTCAATCTGTGTAAATTGTGTGATCGTGATTATTTTGTACTTATTATCTGAGGATGTCCTGGTCAATCTGTGTAAATTGTGTGATCGTGATTATTTTGTACTTATTATCTGAGGATGTCCTGGTCAATCTGTGTAAATTGTGTGATCGTGATTATTTTGTACTTATTATCTGAGGATGTCCTGGTCAATCTGTGTAAATTGTGTGATCGTGATTATTTTGTACTTATTATCTGAGGATGTCCTGGTCAATCTGTGTAAATTGTGTGATCGTGATTATTTTGTACTTATTATCTGAGGATGTCCTGGTCAATCTGTGTAAATTGTGTGATCGTGATTATTTTGTACTTATTATCTGAGGATGTCCTGGTCAATCTGTGTAAATTGTGTGATCGTGATTATTTTGTACTTATTATCTGAGGATGTCCTGGTCAATCTGTGTAAATTGTGTGATCGTGATTATTTTGTACTTATTATCTGAGGATGTCCTGGTCAATCTGTGTAAATTGTGTGATCGTGATTATTTTGTACTTATTATCTGAGGATGTCCTGGTCAATCTGTGTAAATTGTGTGATCGTGATTATTTTGTACTTATTATCTGAGGATGTCCTGGTCAATCTGTGTAAATTGTGTGATCGTGATTATTTTGTACTTATTATCTGAGGATGTCCTGGTCAATCTGTGTAAATTGTGTGATCGTGATTATTTTGTACTTATTATCTGAGGATGTCCTGGTCAATCTGTGTAAATTATGTGATCGTGATTATTTTGTGCTTATTATATGAGGATGTCCTGGTCAATCTGTGTAAATTGTGTGATGGTGATTATTTTGTACTTATTATATGAGGTTGTCCTGGTCAATCTGTGTAAATTGTGTGATGGTGATTATTTTGTACTTATTATCTGAGGATGTCCTGCTTGGTCAATCTGTGTAAATTATGTGATCGTGATTATTTTGTGCTTATAATCTGAGAATGCCCTGGTCAATCTGTGTAAATTGTGTGATCGTGATTATTTTGTGCTCGTTATCTGAGGATATCGTAGTCAAATATGTGATGGTGATTATTTTGTGCTTATTATTTGAGGATGTCCTTGTCAATCTGTGTAAATTGTGTGATCGTGATTATTTTCTGATTATTATTTATATATTTATTTATACATTTTTTGCAAGTATCATTTTGTGGAGGATCATTTGAATTAAATGATCCGAGGTTGAATATTATATAAACATTATCTCAGGGTTACCAATTTGTGGTTATATATTACCAGTGTTTACCGAGAATAAAACAAGGGTCGGTACATGTATGAATTCTGTGGTGTGTGCATTTTGTTTTATTAAAAATCTTTTAAGCTAATATTGCTGATTAGAATTTTACTTTAAAATATCATTAAGCTCATGTATCTCCACACAGCTAAGTCGAATTCACATATGAAAACCACGTCCATATTTTAAACATATTAAGAACGATTACTTTGAGGAGCTCAGAACAACTGTTCCCGGGTTTTAAGTAATTTTCTGTCTCTCTTCGTTGATTACATTTTGTTTTAAAGCTTTTATGCTTTGATTGCCTGTCTTATTTATAGCAAAATTTAAACAAATGGTATTGTTTCATTGATTTGCACTTTGCGCCACGGGAAAGCACGCGAAGAGCTCGTGTGTTGTCCTAAAAAAACATCCATACACTATTTTTCTGGGATGGTTTTGAAGGAGAAACTCGACCAAAAAAACCTTGACGCCTTACCTTTGGTACACAGATACAATCTTACAGTGGCTTCAAGTGGCCGAACGATAAACTATATTAAGATTTCAAAGAGAATGGTACATTTCACGCCCTCGTTTAAAACCGGAAGTTGTCTCTTCATCTAAGTGTGTGCGTAACATATATTCAAGTTTGATTGTTTCCATTTCGAGTGACCGGCTCAGGAATAACGTCATTTTGTTTACAACTATGTATGTATTGCTTTTTGAGTTAGATTTATGAAACAAGTCGCAGGTGGTATAGTTAAGGGTGTATGCTACCTTTTTGTAGTTTGAATCTCCGTTCAAAAAAGAGCTTCACACAAAGAAGACTGTTGAAACATAATTGATGTATAAGGGTTAAATCAATGACTAAATAACATATTCAAGAGGTACACTGGAACTGATGACACAATTGAAAAGAAAACCACAAAAAATGATGACACATGTGAAAGTAACACAAACAAATGCCATATCTGAGAGTGTCCATTAAAACTATCATAAAAGGAGGTAGCTCTTTTAGTCATTTCAATGATACATCAAACAAATAAATATGTTAAAATATTAACAGGTACAATATCATGACCGGTAACGCAGCGGATAAGCTCCCTTCATCATAAGGAATCGCACAACTAAATCAGCCAATCGGCAAGTGTTTAATACGTTTATAGCTCCTATCTAAAATTAGTTTCGGTTAATTACTGGATCCATGAGGAAGTTTAATGAGGAACTGATGACAGATTTTGAGATGAAAGAAATGTACAAGTATTTTACATCAAGAAAAAAATGTATAATTTTGATAAATGTCCATGTCTGTGTGCGGATTCGCACAGGGACAACACCGTTAAACGTCTGTGGTCGTTTCTGTTTTGGGTCAACGGTTTTGCTTGTAAACTTCCGGTTTTCAACTTTTGGACACTGTGACACACCAATTTGCCTTTAAACCAGCCAAAAAAAAAATCATTCTATAGGCTTTGTAAGGTATGTATCTATGAATCTAGACAGTTGTCACTGGTGTTGAACTTCAAATATTAAATGTATTAGCTAAAACATTGCATGAAGACTTAGGACGTTATCACTGTGTGTAGCAGAACGTCCTCACATCACGTGGTATAACGTCTTCACAGCACGTGGTAGAACGTCCTAACATCACGTAGTATTCCGTTATCACATCGCGAGGTAAAACGTCTTTACAGCACGTGGTATATATACCGTTATCACATCGCGAGGTAAAACGTCTTCACAGCACGTGGTAACGTCCTCACATCACGAGGTAAGACGTTTTCACAGCACGTGTTAGAACGTCCTCACATCAGGAGGTGAAACGTCTTCACATCACGTGGTAGAACGTCCTCACATCAGGAGGTGAAATGTCTTCACAGCACGTGGTAGAGCGTCCTCACATCACGAGGTAAAGCGTCTTCGCAGCACGTGTAAGAACGTCCTCACATCAGGAGGTGAAACGTCTTCACATCACTTGGTAGAACGTCCTCACATCAGGAGGTGGAAATTCTGCACAGCACGTGGTAGATTGTCCTCACATCACGTGGTATACCGTTATCACATCACGAGGTAGAACGTCCTCTCATCATGTGGTATACCGTTATCACATCACGAGGTAAAACGTCCTCACATCACGTGGTAAAACGTCCTCATATCACGAGATGAAACGTCTTCACATCACGTGGTAGAACGTCCTCACATCACGAGGTGTAACGACCTCGCATTACGTGGTATAACGTCCTCACATCACAAGGTGAAACGTTTCCACAGCACGTGGTATTACGTCCTAATAGCCCATGGTTGGACGTCATCACAACATGTGGTATAACGTCCTTACATCACGAGATGAAACGTCTTCGCATCACTTGGAAAAGCGTCCTCACATCGAGGAGTGAAACGTCCTCGCATCACGTGGTATAACGTTCTAACATCATGTGGTATAACGTCCTCATAGCACGTGGTTGGACGTCATCACATCACGTGGTATAACGTCCTCACATCATGTGGTATAACGTCCCCACATCACGAGGTGAAACGTCCTTACATCACGTGGTATTACGTCCTTAAATCATGTGGTATTACGTCCTCACCTCACGTGGTATAACGTCCCTACAGTACGTACTATAGCGTCCTTACAGTACGTGCTATAGCGTCCTTACAGTACGTGCTATAGCGTCCTCATAGCACGTGGTTGGACGTCATCACAGCACGTGGCAGAGCATCTTTACAACACGTTTTAGAATGATAGAACGCCCTCCTTGATGTCAGCAGGGGGTCGAGAGGATGGCAAAACAAGGATGTATGATAGAAATATTTTTTATTACATATGAAATACAAATTTGATTTTAAATCTACTTTAAACGGATATACACGTGTAGTGGAAGCTTAGATAAGTTATCAAAAACAATCCTCTTGAGCAGGGTGTCAAGTGCGTAGACGGGGAGGGGGATATCTCATACTGTGGTGAAAAAAATGGATATACCAGAGTATATGATAGAATCACAGTTTATTAGATTTTAATACAATTTCATTTTGATTTGGCTGATAAGTGAACACGAGCGTGGTTGATGAGGAAGCTTTAACTTGTATGAGGGGAGGAACAGACGGACAATTCGAAATACCTAATTTGTTTAAATGGGATTTAATTTTAATTGCACTGATAAACGGATTCAAAAGCGTCTATGTAAGGGATTAAAAAAGTTTCAAAATACGGAATAAAAGAGGGTATGTACTAAAAAGCCGTTGAGTACTAGCGTGGCCGTACAAATGACGTAAAAAGAAAAGAAAAAATGTTTAAAAATACTTAAATTTTTATTTAATTTCCTCGCGCGGTCACAAATGACATAAATGAAAGGTATCAACAACAATGTTAACGGATGATGATGATGATGATGATGATGATGATGATGATGATGATGATGATGACAGGAGTAGGGGGGGACAAAGAAAAGGACGAGAACGACGACGAACCTGAAATATGATATTACACTATAAGCATGGATTTACATGCAAATATTGGCAAATGGTTTCGTGGTCTGGTAGAGGCTGACGGAAGCAGACGAGCAGACAAACAGACAGACAATCTAGAAATAGGGAGGAGGATGAGGGGCGCGAGATAATAACCTAGATGTGTTGGAGACGGCACGAGACGGGATAGAGAGATAAACACGGAAAAGACAGACGGATCGACAGATACACCAATAAAACTATGTCGGCTTACAACAACTTTGTGGTTAGCCGAGCACGGCAGTGAGCTCTGTATATATCTACGAGAGACTAGGTATACAACACTGAAAGTATTTCGTACGTTGAGGGGATCCAAGGTATACATACCACGTAGACAGATTCACCACATCCACGCCATAGTTTGAACAAAAATCGTCTGCTGAAATGATCCCTGTTTCGATAGAACGGAGAACCTATATCTTCTGTACGGATACCGACGATATATACGGACACTAACGACGTAATTTTGAATTTGTGTTAAGTCCGTTTTACTATTACCGTTGAGACGTACACATATTTTATTGAGGGGGTGAGTTTTTGGAGAGGTTTTTCCCCCATTTACTCGATGTATTTACGAGGAGTATTAGCGCTCTACTATAAACCACACTGGTGACCCAGGTATATATACAGCTAACAACGACTTACGGCGGGCGTATTTAGACAGTGCGATTACAGATAGATAGACAGAGACCATGGCATTTCGCTTACCAGACAACGCTCCGGACAGGAGAGGGACATTCTGTGGACACACTTGACCAGTAATTGGCCGGACTGACCACTCCGAACATGCAGCGGACTGCCGTTATCCTCCTCTTTCCTCTTCTGTCTGTCTTGTTTTCACATATCGGAGTTTACAGTAAGAAGGTAAGTGTATATATAATTATAGTTTATCAGATCATTCTTTTAACTAAACATACATTGAATTGAGACATTTAACACCTCAGTGCAATTTTCTACATACTATATATCTCGGATACCAATATGACGAAGATTATTATTAATTCATTTCTGTCGGATATTTTTATTACGTGGACTTATTGCTCGTATACCATCTTATTGGAGTCGTAATTCGTGTTCAAGGATGTTTTAAACAATCTCCGATGAGATCTAGATTAGTGGGTCTGGGGTGGGGGGATCTGGAGTGTCGGGGAGGTGGAGAGGATACCGAGGCGCCTTTATCGTGTACACATCTAGCTATAAAGCCAGTAGGAGCGGCTACGATCCAGAATACAGAGGAAATTAAAAAAAAACCCAGTGGAATACTGAAAAATCATAAAAGGTTAACGTGACGCGATTACGCGCTATACCGGCACCGTTATTCTCTAAAGATATGAGGATTGGAAGCGAGTTATCGGGGAATTGATATTTTGTTAGGTATACATTGCGAAAAGTATTCATTAAACCTAATTTCAAAATCTAACGATGTCATTCTCACTGAGATAAAGAAAAGAGAGACATATCGACCGAAAATGGGTTTTTTCCGGTTACACCTAACTACACTAAATTTAGTTGCGTTATAATTGATTAACTTTGTTATGACAATTTTTAACATTTTGGGACTTCTGCTCCATAAATAACTCAAGGTGAAGATGTGATTGAAATTTTAAAGGTCTGGTGTGCCCACCAAGTAATCTGAAACAGGTATATTATGTTCGGCCTTGGGTATAACCAACTTTCGTAGAGGTTTAGTCTATGAAAATAAGTTTACAATGTATCTATATACGTACGTATAAAGGTAAATAACAGATAATTGATTTATTAGGGTCGGTATCTGCGCAATTCTTTAGAATACGTTATTGATATATATGTATAAGATTCAAAGATAATTGATGGTCTTTTTTCGAAGTTGTATCTTGCATTATGCAAGATATATTACACCAGTAAACAGGATGTTAAAAAATGTCGGACGCATTTAAACAAACAAAAATGTTTATGGCACGCCTATCTAGGTTATTTACACATTTATATAACTTACACTTTAAGCAGCACCTAAGATTCTCTGTAAATGGATAACGTAAAGAGCATATTAATGTCAGTACATCTCTGACCAAAAACAAGATAAAAATATTCCATACAATATTTAATCGATGTTTATTCGGCTATTTGGAATTCCGTCATTCCGAACATTAGCCAGACAAACGGTGTCTTGTAAAGAAATCAGACATTCCGTATTTCCTTTATAGACAGTGTCTGTTATATAGAGGTGACGGAATAGTTCTACCCGATGAGATTGACGTAGTTTAATGTTTATATAATTTTGTTTTTAAATATTTTGTTTTCGTGACATAAATATAGATATTCATACGGATACAGTTTGTACATGTAGGTATGATTAAATTTAAAATGTTTTAAACTTAGTCGTAACATCTAAATGTGTGTTGTTGAAACGTTATGTATTGAAACAGTTCTAACATACATGCATATGTAAATCGTCGTTATACTACCACCATTTAACCTGCAGTCTTTTGGCGTTATAAAGGGGTTTGGTCAGTATATCGAGGGATACAAATAAAATACATTTCCTTCTTTCTAATAATTTTGTTGAATTTGTGGTTGGTATTTTTAGAAGTTAAAACAAATTTAATGTTTAACAGTTTGGGAATAACAGGATGGGAACTGACCTAACCTAGCGGGTATAAATAAAACATGTAGACGTTTATATCAACTACGAAAAAAGCCATATTAATGTTGAAGGCTATATATACAATTTATTGTACAATTTAGACAGGCGTCACTGTGATGTTTGGTTTAAACCGCTTTAACTGTGGTGTTTAATTTCGACAGGTTTTTATGATAATGTTCAATTTAAACAGGTTTAGTTCTATAGGTCGGTTAATACAGGTTTAATGTGGTGTTCAATTTAGATGCTTAAGATCTATCGATCGGCTAAGACAGGTTTACTGTGGTGCTCAATTTAGAAGGTTTAAGATCTATCGATCGGCTAAGACAGGTTTAATGTGGTGTTCAATTTAGAAGGTTTAAGATCTATCGATCGGCTAAGACAGGTTTTATTTTGGTGTTCAATTTAGAAGGTTTAAGATCTATCGATCGGCTAAGACAGGTTTACTGTGGTGTTCAATTTAGAAGGTTTAAGATCTATCGAACGGCTAAGACAGGTTAAATGTGGTGCTCAATTTAGAAGGTTTAAGATCTCATTATGTCAGAAAAGACAGGTTTTATTTTGGTGTTCAGTGTAGGAGGTAACGCTCATGATATCGGATTAACAAGGTTTAGAAGGTTTAGTTGTGTTGTTCGGATTTCACAGGTTATACTGAATTTGTGTTTTGGTGAGTTTTGCTTAAAGTAACGTCAATCTCTTCATCAGACATCATTACCTCTGACGCCATTTTTGTCAAGTGCTACATTTTCATATTTAGCAAGTGGTATAAACACGAAATTCTCTGTCTTAAAAAAAAATCAGCACTGTATGAGTCTAATGTCATTTCAAAACTAAATGCAAAATGTCATGGAATAAGTACTCCTTCTGTTTAATTAATTAGTCCATATAACATGAACTTATCAATTTTCAAACATCTTTTAATAAGACGGATTTAAGGAGTTACGCTACCACACTGTGATGTACAACTTACTTTCAAAAGAGTTCAAAAATTAGAATATGTAAATTGTATTTTGTCCTTGGGTTATTCAACGATGACACATGCATGCATTATAGATATGAATGACTTAGCAAGTTTTAAGGGGACAACTCCAAAACAAATCATAAGTGTAATGTGTATGGTAGCATATACAAATAGAAACTTCATATATTTTACAACAATTATGAAACACTTTTGTTCAACCTTTATTATTCACTCTTGTTGACGGTGCTAGTGCGCGGGGGGTCTTATTGTGGGAGGAAACCAAAGTACCCGGAGAAAACCCCAAGTGGTCGGGCAGGTGACCCCATACCTTTTCACGTCCGATCGGGGAATCGAACCTCGGCCGCCTTGGTGAAAGGCAAGAGCGCTATCCACTGCACCACCCGACCACCAAGTGGCCTACTCTGTTTCTTAGTTCGTCTCCCTCTGCTATCGTCGATTTTGCAAAGACAGTAATTACCAATCAGTCAATAATTTATCGATAGATTGAACAATCAACAATCGATTGGCCCTCTGTGACATTCTTACAGAACAGGTCTTAGCGATTTCTGACGGATCAATCGATCGAACGTTCGTTAATGTTACTTAACGATCGTTTAGTAAGTTAATCAGTGATAGAAATCAGTTAGACAATCAATCAATCGATCCATCGATCAATCAATCACTAAATAGAATAGTTAATCTACCAAACTTTCGTGGGTAAATGTTCATAGAAAAAAAGAATTCAATAAATAATCAATGCTGTTTACTAACTTAAATTTACTGAAGTGTCTTGACAGTGTCATTTTGTTTGGAATTCAGTATTTCTAAACTATTTGACGTCAAGGTGTCATGACGTCATGTCGTCTGTCGGGATTATGACGTCACGTAAAATGACAAATACATGATCTGGACAAATTGAAAATACAAAGAAGTTTTATGAGTTAAGGAAATTGTACAGCATTTGAATTGATGTTGCATGAAAGCCATGTTGGTTTATGTGGAGTATAGCATATAGATAGATAGATAGATAGATAGATAGATAGATAGATCAAACTTTGCTTGTGACGTCATACATGTACCCTATCTATTTCGTGACGTCAGTGTCATGTGATCAAAGGAATGCTATACTAGTCTAGTATTCATCAAATCCGAACTTTTTCTTTTCAAATCATTGATAAGTTCATCTGTACTACATTATATATCCGGCTCACCAACGGAGATAATAAAATATATCAATTGCCCGAAACCAGATATACAGAACAATATTTTTGTTATTTGATTGTCTCATTGTTTCAGGATAATACGGATTTACAACTGTCCTTGCGGAATATTTTTGTCTTTTTCCTAACAACAAAGAAATACCTTCACCACACCTTGAAGAAGATCAACAAGTATCGTTTTGCAACTTTAATTTGTAAACACGTTTTGTGCGTGTTTATATTAAAACACCGATAAAACGTGAATGTTTTCGTAAATAATATCTATTTTTGAGAGCGAATTCATTATTTTTATGAGTTTGTTTATATGATGTGGACAATTTAATTTCCTGTTTTATCTTCTCCGACGCTTTTGTATCATATCATTTTCAGCCCACAAGTTAGATATCTTATTTCTCACACATCAGCGCCGAGATCGAGTTTTACTCCCGTATCGCCCCCACGCGGTTTACAGATGTGTTATATCTCCAACTCAAAGTGTGTGGGAGAGAGAGAAAAACGGAAAAAAAGATGGAGGCTGCAATCGAGTATGTTTTTTACATGCACATACACTGAATGCCCTTGAATCGGAAGGGAGATAGTCACACCTTTAATCTTCTCGCCTTCTAACACCAGGGCCGCTATCAACTAAACACAATGTCGGACCTTTGCTGTATTCGTGCCCCGTGGCCCGGTTTATAGGAAAAAGACCCCTCATTAGTTTTAAGCTGGTGACCTCATTACCGCGCGTGCTTGTGGTCTGTTTCCGCTTGTTGCAGGCCTCCGATAGTAACACATTCCATCAGCCTCTACGTTCCCACGGAGTATCACGTTAAGTCTAACCCAACCCATTCATACGCACTGGACGGGAAAATGATAACATAAAAAACACCCGATTAAAAAAAATCAATTAAATAAAAAAAATGCAAATCGACAAAAATTTACCATAAATCAAATGTATTACATGTAACTCATTAATTGTGAACTCATTTCTAGAAAAAAATAATTAACATAAAATATCTATTTTCAAATATTTTATTAAATAAAAATTCTTACAAATTAACACAAATTTAACATAAATCAAATT